TGATGGAGCGTTACGTCACATCGTCACGTCGTCACGTCATCACGTCGCCGTCGTCGCGCCGTTACAATGAACTTTTTTTGTCGCCAATCCCGAATCATGCTATCAAATAAAAACGTATGATATTGACGACGAAAGATACTTCAGCGTGTTTACAAGAAATGTAGTTTTCAATGAATGTCATATTGATTCGATCCTGAAGGAGTCGTGTGTTCGCCGTGGTGAGTATTTTGCACTTTCGCAAAGCTCAACGTTGTATTCCACGGTTTCTTTAGAAAAATGCAACCTTATCCCTACCTTTTTAATCACCCTCCTTATTATTTTTCATGAATACATGGAATGGAAGTTTGAAAGACGTAGAAGGATGTACGAAACATCTCGATTATGGCGCTTGAAACGTACTGCTTATATTTTCATTAAAGGAAGGTTTACTCTCATTTTAACATGTATATACGAAAAGAAGTAGAACAGGATTGGAAAATAAATTGCTTTCTAATAAAATTAGCAGACCGAGGTAAAACCCAAGAGGGCCGTGCCGGTCAACATCAAACTGAAATGAGTTAAATAGGGATGTATCAAAATATTCATCTATTTAAGGAATAATAAAAGAAAAATTGTCCTTTCCATATTCATAGGTAAATTATAAGTTAGAATGTGGATAAAAGGCCTTCGGACCTATCCTCTGTAGATATAGGTTTTAACTTCTATAAAACTCCCCCTACCGCCCCCTCCTCCCCAAAAAATCATGTTTACATAAATTACATGGGCAAATAGGATGATAATAGTTACCAGGTAATCTAGCAACCACTAACACTTTTTCCCGCAAGGTGCAATTTTTTTTTCCGAAGCTGATACTAGTTTTTTTCGCCATTGTGATATTATTTATTTTTTATTCATAAACATAGCACAACGTTCTCTGTCGAGACTGTTTCGTTCCCTGTTTTCCCTCGAGTTATCATGAATATCGAAGTCGATTCGGCAATCAAGAATCTCGCGTTTTTGCGAACATGAAAGATTTACGAAGTTTTTTCCTCCTCTCCTTGTGTCAGAAATCGTCTGTCGGAAAATAGATCGTCAGTTTTTCACTTAATAGCTTTCAGTTTCGAATTTTCCTCTCCTGAGAAGGGTACCAACACCTGCATTTGCCACGTTGCAAACGTATGTTTTCACAAATTGAGTGCTTGCGGGAATTACTGTTGAGGGTCTTTTGACCGTAAAAAGTCAGCAATCCGAAACGGAGGTACTGAAGCAATTCTCTTGCGTGTGGCAGTACAAGTGGTTGCTTTAAAAAATTAAAAGCACATTTTGAAAACCACAAGTTATGGGATCGGCGCCTGTAAGTCTATTATGCGCATTTTGAAGTTCCGCTGTTCGCGAATTTCTCATCGTGTTCTGTTCTACATTCATACTGGTCGCTTTTTTAGGAGACATCGTACAGATGCGAAGAAAACAACTACTGGTCAACAAAAGCTAGGTATAATTATATTTCCTGATAAATACATATTAGTTTGCCTTTTACAGCATTACCTACATAAGAGCGAACATTTTGAGAATTTTTAAATAAATGTGCAAGTTTTCCTGGGACGTATTTATGCTAAATGGAACTATTTGCAAGTGGAAAAATGGGGTGTGCTCGTTAGTTCAGGGCTATTTATGAATGGGGATTTGAAAGCGCCAGTGACATCAGCGGCAACCAAACCGTATCCGTTGTCGTGCTTGCTCGTCTTTAACTCATGAGCCCTGTCCACAACGCTCTTATCACATGTGCACGGCTCACGAGTTAGCGCTCAGTTCCTTTTGATTTAATGTCAAATCCTGCTTCTCAATTTTCTCAAAAGGAACTATACCCACTTTTACATTTTTTCATAAGCAGCTTCCACGAGCACACCCCATCTTCCTTCATCACCCTCATCACTTCCTCATAGTTCCTTTTAGCATAAATACGTCCACTTGATAGTCGACAAAGTATCCATCTCAACATTTCAAACATTATATAATGTCAGTCCTCTCCAAGCCATGGATTTTGGGTATGAAACATTGAAATGGTCAAGCAGGTTTGCTGCCTAAAACCATTAATATCTTCCATTTGTATCCGTTATTACTGAACTCCAACAAGGAAATACTCCCTGAAATTTAGTCACTCTGCTCTCAACGAGACGCGGTATGTGTATGTCAATGCATGATTTTTCTCCGATCTTTTCCATACAAATTGATGCAGAAAAAGTAAATTTTTGTGTGCGAATTGGCAACGCAGGATCGGAACAATAAAACCGAAACTGAGTTTAATTACCCGCGGCAATGTCAACGAAATGCCCTTGAAGTGCATCGGGCATTGTACAAAGTTGCGGGCGGCGGAATTGGACGCATTTCTATCAAACGGAACTGTGCGCATTATGAAGTGAGCCCTGTTATGCATATATTCTTGTGGGTCTCAGGGCTCATGTCTTAATGCACATAGTTCTGTTTGACAGAAATACGTCCAATTCGGAATTAGACTGGGGTCAGGTCAGTCACTCGACGCGAGATACTGATCTCACTCTCACTTGTTAGATTTAGGGCAGTTTTGTCTAGGCCTCTTAAGCACCATGTTTTTTCGCATTAAAAAACAAATCAGTGGTGCCAATTCTCATGGTAAACTCGAATTACGTCCAATGCTTGATTACGCTGGTTGAGTATTTTTTGGACACTCTGCAACTGCGAATATTTTCATTTTGCCTGTTTTCAAATGTTTATCTGTCAGATCACGCTGTTTGTTTATGGTTTTCGTAATCTTGCTGTGTTTGAGTACTTAATGATACTTTGCCGCAAGAAAACCCTCTTTGCTGAACGACTGGGTTTCTTCCTTCGAGCAAGTGTTCCGTAAGAGACAAAATTGACAGCACTGAATGGAATTAAGGGGTCTGTGGCATATTTTTGACATGGGGTTTCTCGGTGTAAACTTAAGGGCCCGTGCCATGCATTAGAGAACTTTCCGCTCTGAACGCCCATACATGGAAAAGCCTCACGTTGACTCACAGCGGATCCCNGGGGGGGGGGGGGCATAGGAGGCATACGCTCCCCTCCCGTTTGTCCGTAAAAAAGGAGAGAGAAAAATGCGGAAGAGAAAAGAAAAAGGAAGGGAGGGAGGAAGCTTTTATTAGGCACGTGACAAAATTGACTCAAACTGCATATAGAACGAGATACTTTAAATTTCGAAAATTTCGGGGAGGGAGCAGAGAGGAGTCCTCCAACTCCCCCCCCCCCCCCCCGATCGAAGTGTTTCGCCCCGGATTCGCCTATGCGCGCTAAGAAGAAACGATATTTCTTACTCCTCGCAGAAATGACGTATCTGCCACTCACTTTCCTATACAGATGAGTGGATTTATTAATGATTCATAAAAGTAAGTTCTAGTGATCACCTTTTAGACGAAATTAGAAATTAATAAAAATATTTAATGTTTCTTCGTCAAAAATGTACGCTGAGCACGGTAAATACATTAAAAATTTGTTGAAGCTTCATTTCCCACAAAACTCAAACATATATTCTATCAATTTAAACTCTCCGTGAAACAACGTTAGATTAGCTCTCCTAGAAAAGAAGCTGATTAAGAACTGAATCAGTGAGTTCGAAAACACATCAACTCGGGTTTCTCTCGAATTTCACTTTTTTACGGTTTAGTAATACTTATGGATAGAAGCATCTGCACGCAAAAGGAAATTTAGAAATTGCAATCGAAAGTGCTCGAAACAGCAACGGGAAAAGGGGAGAATCGAAGTATTTCATTGGAAATACCAATTTTTGGCCATTTCAAGGGAAACGGGTAACCATCCGATTTTGCGGTTTTCTTTTTTCGGTTCAGTGTACCTTGTACCAACAAGTTGTATAAATATTCAAGCGTTATCCACGTCAAAAAATATACATTTTTCAGGGCAGACCATGAAAAATCAGTATCTGAAAGTCGGTGAGAACAAAAACACACCAACTCGGAAATTTTTAAGCGCTTAATTCTCTGTCATCAAACATGGTGTATCGATTTCAACTTGGTGCTTTACAAAGTCTCTCAGTACTTGTCCTTGGGCACAAAATAGGTTTTTCTTAAACTAACTTCTTCGTCCACTGCGCAGTTTCAGGTGTTTCCTGAACAATTTTTTTTCCGAGTTGGTGTGTTTCCGAACTCATTGATTCAACTGTAAACGAGTGGGAAAGATGGGGTGTGCTCAAGCAAGCTACACAAGAAACAGTGTTAAAGCGGGCGTGATTCCTTTAGGAGACATGGAAAAGAAGGATTTTACATTCTGTCAGACGGAACTAAGCGCCGACTGAATTCGGCGCTCATGAGCCGTGGGCATGTGACAAGAGCGTTGTGGACAGGGCTCATCAGTTGAAGACTCGGAGTCGCGGCGGCGGTTTCGTTGCCGTTATGGCCCTCGATTGACGAGCACACCCCTTCTTTCCCGCCTGTCTCTGGTTCCGTTTTGGAGAAATAAGTCCAATTTGAACTCAGTGCATGAATGTCAAAAGCGAATTTTCGCGCAGATCGGATTGATCTTGTGAATCCGAACCAGAGAATGCGTATTTTTTCGTTGATCCGATATTCGTTTTCGGGGTTCGCAAAACGGAGGGCTGTTGCAACTGTTCCGTTTGGCAGAAATACGTCCAATTCAAAATCTCGCAAGACGGCCGTCGCACAAACGTGCTTCAGCGCAAAAAAAACCCACCTGAACTTCCACCCGCACACGTTCGATCGGCACGAGCTTCAAGTGAAGTGGCATCGTCCAGATAATCGCTTATCGAGTACCGAGTCGGGTATTCCAAGATCGTGGCCGACCTGTCGACGAGTCGTCCCACCTGTGCTCGGCGCATCAGTTCACCATCACACCTCGCACCGTGCTCATCTGCCGATTGCGATTGCGGCAATCCGGGTTGCGTTCGCGCCTCAACTTCCGGTGTCAGCTCCTCACCCCGTCTGTCCGTCTCTCACCGGTTCCGCTCAGCATTTACCTAGAATCCAACCGTATTTTCCGGGGTCAGTCCGTCAATCCGGGTTAATGATCTTCGTCAGCTTTTCGCGCAAAACGCAGCGGCAGTCAGTGGCCCTCCTCATGCAAATGAAAATATACTCGAAAAACAACCTTTCGGACCTCACTGGGACAGCTTGTGCGTTATAACTTGCGTAGTGCTCTCCTCCTTTTTTAGTTTTGAAATCTAGTGCGCGAAGCTATACGATTCGTTAAATCCGTTTTATTTAGTTGTTAGATATATATTAGAGTTAGTTCTGCGGTAACAAATTATTGAAATTTTTAATAAACTAATAGTGGCGAAATTTATATTAATTTATCATTTACCAAAATCTATAGTTACCAAAGTCACCGTCCATTCGATCATAAAACTGTACAGATTTATTTTGTTTTTGTTAATATCTTTTTCTGCAACACTTCCGTCATTTGATAAGTGAAATTTTTGTGCCGCAAAAGTGTTTTCTCGTGTTTAATATCAGCAGCCCGATTTTTTTTGTTGAATTTCAATTTTAAACGCAACCATGGTGTACAAAAAGGATATTGGAACCCGCGTTGCAAATGGTGAGAAAAAGCTCTTGTAAAGAAATTTTTGCTGAAAGTGTCACAAAATGAATTTTATAACACCGTACGTGTGTCTCTAGTTTTACAATGGCAAAGATATCCATAACTTAAAAAATTAGTTGAATATCATCAAACTTAAAAAAACTACTCATTGCTGACACGTAAATGACCACGGTGAAGTCTCCATGTTTCTTGTCATTTTCTTTTTCAATTGAAATTTTATGTCATTGTAATTATTATTAAAAAAAAAAAAAAAACTTCGAGCCACTTTAAGAGCTTTCTTATAGTCAATGAACTCGACAAAAAATAATTCATTAAATTGAAGCGTGCACCAAAAAATTCCTTGAACCTGTTTTAGTACACACAACTGCACATAAAGTCACTTTCGTGTTTGTTTTTGTTTTTTTTTTTTAGATTCCAATGTATTGCAAAAACGTAAAGTGCATAAACTTTATGCATTGAATATAAATTTACAGATTTTCTGCATGCTATCAATATAAATAATGTACTCTACCACAATCATTCTTTGCTTCCTACATTCAATGCCTTCATAGAGTTTGAAGCTAGCATTCGAAGCTGTTTCACCTCAAAGTCACTATATACCTAAAAATGCAATTTAACTACAGCATAAATTGTATTGGAAGGTATATTTGAACGTTTAGATTGTCGAAGCAATGCTAATTACACAGATCGCCGCGTCATGTAAGATTTTTAGCGTCGGTGTCTTTCTTTTCGAGGAATCAATTGATATGCCATTTAAAGCTCTGGTAAATAATCGATGTGTTGTGCTGAGTACAAAATTAAGCTTACTATTATATGTTTCCATATTAAATTGTATATTTTATACAATGAACATATTGGAACTCTCTAAATTCAAATCATAAGAAGCGAGGAAAAATAGTATTTTGTGAACAACCGCCCAATTTTCCAGCTTACAAAAAGTCAAAGTCTGCTCCAGTCAACTTAAGGACCGAAATAATTTCGGCATGTATATTTTACGGTGATGAATTTTCCTGCGGTTTTTTGGGGGACAAAATTCAATGTTTTTTTTTTCTTTAAGGAGAGAGATAATGGGCCTGAAATCAAGCTCCGGTTACTACCTTAACCTATAGGTTGTTTTCAATAGGTAATTTGACCCACGTTGAGTTTAGGTTTTTCACGAGCGGGAGTTTGAATTGACTGTTAATAACGTAAACTAAAAAAGTTATTACCTAGTTTAGGAGTTAATGTTGGCACGAAATTAGGATTGTGAAACATGTTTTGTAAAGGTCAAACTTGTCTCGTGATTCACTCTGCAACATGCGCAACTGCTCTACGATTTCAGAATTAATATCCTCAAATTCGGAATGGAAGACTGTAGAATGTAGTAAAATGTGCCCATTCGAAGCGTTTCAAAATATAATTGACCTTTGAATTTCGATCAAAATTGGTTCACGACTCCCAGCACAAGTTTCGTTCCATGCAATGGGCACTCGTTACAACGGTATTTAAACGAATGTTCATATCTCCTAACAATTTTTTGATGTTTTATATTTCCTAGAAGTCTCCTCACTAACCTGTTCTAGGACTATCACCTAAGTGAGATATTTTGTTGCAGCATGCTTTTCCCAGCGGTACATTCTGGCCATAATGGGCTGCGCAGGGGTGGCCAACGCGCTTATCATGAGGGCCTGTCTCAGCATCACCATCACTCAAATGGTCCGGCCTTCGAACCACACTTCAGAATCGGGAGAAATCTATCATGACCCGGACGCCTGTCCCGCCCTCCCCGTCACACCAGCGAACCCCTCCAAACCGGTGGTAAGTCAATAACTACTCTGAAAGTTTTTATTCGCCGATCATCATTGAATTTTTAAAGGGAAGGACGCTCGTAAGGGTGCAACGTCAGCTTTTATTGGAGAGCAGCGCACACAAAAATTTTATGATGCGGGTAACGTGGGAAGGAGTAATTTTTGTAGGGGCAACAAGAAAAATTGCGAAAACATTGCCTTGACGTTTTCCAGAGGGGGCAGAGTGTATATCAAGAGGGGAAGGGGGAGCAGGCCCGCTCTAATTTATCGTACCTCTGACGTAAGGGCGTATCTCGATTCCCACGTGAGTCCTGTTTCACATACAAATGCATGCTTTCTGGGGCTCATGCGAAAATCGAGGGACACCTTCACGTCAGAGGAGCGACGAATTCAAGTTCAGTTTTAGTTCTTGTCTTCTTTGATGGTACATTCTTTGGAAGAAAAAAAACCACATTGGATCTAGAGTCTAGACTCTTAAAAACATCGACAAGAAAAAGTACTCTTGATTCAATCAGAATCTAGCTTAAATCAAGAACCAAGCCTCTTAATTTAAGCGGATTTCGTTTTGATTCAAGCAAAAATCCGATTGAATCAAGACTCTTGAAAACATTGACAAGAAAAAATACTCTTGAATCTTTAACGCAGCTGATCGCTGTAGGTTGTGATTCCTTGAAATTTGACCAATTTACTTTTTAATTTTGAATCCATTACAATATAGTTCAAATCAATTCCATTTCCTTGCGTTTATTGCTAGACTCGGTACACCATCAGAAATATATTTTAATACAACTCAATTTCTTACAGCACCCTGGCGAGTTCGACTGGGATGAAAAAACGCAAGGAAAAATATTATCAGCCTTTTACTATGGTTACATCTTCACCCACATTCCTGGCGGCCTGTTATCTGAAAAATTTGGAGGAAAATATACTTTGGGGCTTGGAATTTTCTCGACAGCAATTTTCACCCTGCTCACTCCTTGGGCGGCGAGAATGGGATCTGATGAGCTCATCGCCCTGCGCTTCATCGAAGGACTTGGAGAGGTAAATAGTCAGCGCTAATATTTATGTCTATTCATACTTACTTCTTGGATAATTTTACGGAATATTTAAAGTATACTTTTAGCATTACTCAAGGTTACACACTTCTCGATAATCACTGCCGAGTGTCACTTCATCAGAGAATTATCCGTAGGAACTCTCGTAATTCTGCTGATATCAGTTGGATTCATACTGACATCGCTTGAATCTATATCAAGATCAGTTAACTCTTTACTGGTGCGGGTAAAATTCGAGTGATATCAGTATAAGACTTCTCTATTTGTTTTCAGCCAATTGGATTACATTTTGCAATATGGAACCACTAAGTCTGGCTCTTTCATAAAAGCACGTTTCTGTATGGGGAAACCAATGGCATATTTGTTGTTTCTAAAATGAGCCGGAAATAGTGGTTCCTTATTGCAAAATGTAATCAAATTGATATGTGTATAGAGATCCAACTAATATCAGGATCGATATTGAATCCGCTCTGCCTGATATCTCAGATACTAATCGTCACATTAATCTCAACAAATTTATGATAAGAAACATAATTTTTTAATTTATTATGATGAATAATTGCCTCCTAATCAGGAGCAGCACCCTCAGATAACTAGCAACAAATTGTACTGATATGAGCAGAATTTTTCCACGGATATAATGAGGATATTTCAGAGAAGGCATTAAGACTTTATAAGCTGGCCGAATACAAGTAGCTTCAACCATCTAAAGAAGGATACGAGATACAAAATGTTTAAGGGTATAAGAAATTCAGTTGACATTGAATTGTTCCTAGGTAGAAATAGCGGTAAATCCTCATGGAATTCCCATTTTATCCAAATCGATGTTTAATAGGAGGAGAAGGAGGATAATGCTGCATGCTCATTTGTTGAGGTGTTGAAAATAAAAATATAATTGCCAATTGACAGAAATATCTTTATTTTAAGAACATAAATAAGGAAAAATAGAGGAAGTTAGGACTGTTGATAAAAAAGAAAGTAAATATACAAATTATAATGGTTTTTGCGATGAAATTGGCAATATACGCAATTACAAACTAACGCAAAAGGTGTGCCGGAAGTCAAACATGGTTTATATTATCTTTATTGCCTTAAGATTATAGGAAGCAATTGAAAGTTCAGCGTCGAGTACTTTGAATGTTATTCAATTTTACAGGAGCAGTTTAAAATTACTCACTCCGAGAATACCGCTATGTTATTGAACCAAAGAAAAAAATTCAAGTCTACGCTATAGAAAATATGAATTACTCTCCAAAGCTCCTTTATCATCTCGTTCTGAGATTTTTACTAAGTAAATATTTAACTTGATTCATCGACTAAAAATCAGATTGGGTCAAAAAGTCTTAAGTAAAGAGCGAGATAAGCTCATTTTCCTCGAGTTTATACGAAGGTTTTCTACAGCCCCGATGATAAAGCATAAAGGTGCGAGGGAGAATGCTCTTATTGCTGTTTGCTACTTGTAGCTCACGAGTTGACAATACATAATAACTCAACGCTTAACCGTGTCTTAATAACTGTTCTCCGGTAGAACTCTTGCCCCTCCCTCCCCCTCCCCCACAATCCAAGTTGTCTAGCCACTTCATTACGTACAGGACTCACAAATTGTAGTTAATATTGTGGTCATGACGTCAAAGTGTGACAATGAATTTTGTTGAAGAATGCTAAGAGACTAGTGCAAAAATTCATTCAATAATTCGCTTTCTTAATGATACGGATGAACTTTATTCTCATATAAGCCGTAAATATCATTGAGGACACTGCTGTGCTCAGTCAAAGAGCAATACATTCATGTTTTGCCTTACGTCCTCTAATTCCAAAATATAATCCTGCTTGTTTCAAGGAATGAAACACATAAAGCCAAAATTGAAAAATTCACGCTAATGATTCCGGATAAAGTTGCAACCCCCCCCCCCTCCTGAGGCCTCAAAGTATTAAACATAACTACATTTGGGGTTTATTGTCAGTTCGAAATCCTGCATGCATTAGTTGCAGCTGAAAACATGTTTTATCCCAAGTAATTGTAGATCTGGCCTTTCGTCAAGAGTCTGACGTATTGAGTGCCGTCTGCACTGTATACATATATTTGGCGCTTTGAAAAATGTATCATGTATACTTACTGTCGCTGAAAATTCTAAAACAAACATATAAAGGGTATTTTATGATGGCTATTCGTATTGTTACCGGTGTTTTATGTCACTCTCTTTTTAGAGGATAATGGAGTAACCATAAAGGTAACAACACAGAAACGCTTTGAATCAACGTTCACTGAAGATTTTGAAAGGAAAATAAGTACTGCCTTGATAGCAGTGTGAATGTGACATCAATGCATGCAATTTTTGCATGAAGCATTTGAACACAATCACTTCATTAAACAATTACCACAGTCCCATCCGTGGCACCCTGGATATATGATCATATACGTTGAAAAACAGACCGCGCTGGCATTGAAATTAGTGACATTGAAATGGGCGGTGCAGAATTTGGACAAGCACTGTCCATTCAGAGAGATTTTAAAATGAAAAGCTCACCGTCGTTGGACAGCGGAAATAATCTGCTTTCAGAATGTGTGAAGGCCCATCGCCCATTTTTTGCACATTTGAATTTGTATTGTTCATCTTGAGCCACGATATTTCAGGGAGGAAAAACACGCTCTTAAGATTTTGATACATGTACATTTAGTCGAGCTAATACTGCACTTATATCATTTAAAACATGTCTGTTAGCAACGCGTACAGTCCCTCGCTTTTTATGGATATCTTGTGAAATTCATCCAAAGTTCAAAAGTTGGGATCACAGGGGAATCATTTTTCGCTGTTCAAATCATGAGAGAAACTACAAAACCAAGAATCCTGGTTTGCGACGTTATAAATCTCTTGGCACGTTCGATCCTTTTGGAGGATAACGATTGTTTTACACAGAAAAAAAAGAACATCCTTGTCCTCTTACAATGATCGCAGTGGATTACAAGTAATCCCGACTCTTCTGGCTATTGTTACAATGTTGCTGCAAAGGTAACTTCGTTACGACTAGAAAAGTCGGTAAGATCTCGATGAATGCATTGTAAAACGAGCGGCATTTTAATCCGTGTGGTGAATAACTGCGCGTGATTTTTTCTTGCTCTATCAATAATATTCTCTAAAAATTTTAAACAGAAAAGTCCAGGGATACTTGATTGAAAAATGACAACCGTAATCTAGGTACATTTGTACTGGTAGTTTAGGTAGGCACCGTCAATAAGTAATTGCCCATAGGACAAAATATAGAAATCAACCCAAGGTCTATTGAAGTCCTTGGATTTCTTTCGTATAATATATTTAGGTAATTATTTTTTGAATGTGCCAATCAAGTAACGTGTTTTTTCCTGGTATTAATGTGCTGTTTCTGTTTTAACAGGGAACGACATTTCCAGCGCTGTGTACATTACTGGCTCAATGGGCTCCACCTTTGGAGAGAAGTAAATTGTCATCCATTGTATTTGCAGGTATTTACTTACTATAATTCTCTATTTGTGTTTCAAGCTCTTCATTTTCGATGTCTTTTGATTTCCGACCGTTCAAAGAATATCTCAGAAACTTCATTTCAGCAAATTAATCATAAAACTTGCTAGCTCACATGAAATAATTGTTTATTGTAAGATGCCCCTAGAAGGGTAATGTAACAATAGGTTTCTGGTTCTTGTTACATACATTACAATTACATATTTGGAACATTTCAAAGATTGTAAGGACATCGATCTTTCAATTTTCAGGCGTTCAAATTGGCAACGTAATGGCCAACTCGATGAGCAGTCTCATATTGGAATTCATACCTGGTGGATGGCCATGGGTGTTCTATATTTTTGGCGGTGTTGGCATGGTCTGGTGTGTTTTATGGTGTCTTCTTTGCTACAACGATCCATCTTCGCACCCGTACATCACAGAGAAAGAAAAGCGTTACCTTCAGGAGACTATTGGTCAAATTGAGAGGAAAAAGGTGTGTGATTTCATATTAAATATTACTATTAGTACTATAAAACTACTTTAACCACTATATTAATTTCATTATTACTACTGAAAATACTATCAATATTATTATTTTAACTATTGAAAAGATATAGTATGTCTAAAAATTTAAGAAATGTTAACTTTTTAAAAGCTAAAAGGTTTTAATGCTAAATGACATTTGAAATCAATTCGTCAAATATGTATGGTAACAAACACAGTTGAGAATTCGATTGGGTTTGATATTTATACTGGCGTTTCCCAATTAAAGGATCATAACTGCATTTTAACGTTGAAAAGTCTCCATTCTCAGTTTTTGTATTTTTACCATGGTATTTCTGGAATTTAGTCAACAAAAATGTCCTCTTATTTCTGGCAAAAAATCGGCAAAATTTTGCACAAAAATAGCACAATTTTACCCTTGTAAAAAATAGTAAATTTGGCAACCTTGGAAAAAGTCATGTTTCCTCGCCTGGAAACTGATGATTTTTCTCATTTTGGTTAACATAGGTTTTTGATTTTATACATGATTTTAAGTTTATTCGTATGTTTTATTCACTTGATACGTCTCCTTGCATTATGGCATATTTCAAGACAAAATTAAACCATCAAGCAAATAGAAAATTAAAATGATATTTCTGATGATTTCCTGATATTTCGCACTATTATCATCTGTTTTGTTTTGATGTTCAAATTTTTGAATATTTTGGCAGGATTTGGGACCAATGCCTTGGAAAGCTATCCTAACATCTGGACCAGTTTGGGCCCTTATTATTGCTGAAGTGGGTCATGATTGGGGTCTGTACACAATGGTTACCGATCTGCCTAAGTACATGAACGACGTCATGCATTTCAGCGTAGCTCAGGTATGAATTCATGATTGAAACTATTATGCTTCTCTTTTTAAGACATTAATTATTTCAAAGCCTCTGTTAACTTCAACTTTTTACAAGCTTGTCAATTTTTCTTTTTAAATGAAACTTCAATGTAAGTCGATCTTTAATTTAGTTAAAAATTTTCCTCCTCATGAGACTCAAATTATATTTTCAAAAATGAAACTATATTTGGACGTATTTATGCTAAAAGGAACTATGTTGCAAGCACATCCAATGCACATAGTTCCCTTTAGCATGATTATATTATATTTAGCTATGGTTATATTTTCAAAAATGAAACTTTATTCGGACGTATTTAAGCTAAAAGGAACTATATTTTGCACGCAAATCCTTTGCTCAAAGTTCTTTTAGCAGAAATACGTTTGATTCTGAGTACCTATATGGTTATCCAGTTTGGCACTGGTATAAGTTTCTCTCCTCTGAATCAAATCAACGTTAACTTGACCGATTCACAAAATTAAAAATCGCCATTTTTCTTTTCAGAATGGAATTTTATCATCACTACCGTACCTTGTGATGTGGGTTTTCTCCATATCGACTAGTGCACTGGCCGACTGGCTCCTCAAAGTAGAGTACATGTCAATCACAACTTTAAGACGTTCTTTCGCGACATTAGGTAAATATTTCGCTCATAAACTCCGCTTTTTTCATTGCATATTTTCATAAAAAATATGATAAGGGGCTATCCATGTATTATTTTACCCTCCGGAAGGTGGTGGGTGGAGGGTAGTTCGCTTGTTCTAGTTTCACATGAGAAGTTAGGGAGGGCTTTAATGAGAAAAAGGAGTATCAGCTCTTCTTAATTAATAACAACAACTTAGATGTTTCGCCGTGCAAAAAGCGCAGTTCACCTTTATGTGATTCATTCATATACTGAAAGAGGCCGATTCAATGGAAGTTTACATGAATCGGCAAACAAATGACGAAAACGTTAAAAATATGAGCTGAATCAGGGTATTGCAAAACAAAACACTTCAGATTTCTTACGGGCAGACACGAGATGAGATTGAATGGAAGATCACAGGGTATTTTTCCCTCTACAAACTTGAAGAAGGCGGGATGAACCGTAACTTTACGGGTATAGGTTCAACATTGCAGTTGGTTTGAGGGCTTCAAAAAAAATAAATAAAGAAATAAGTTATGAAGGTGACAAAACTTTCCATTAAAATACTTGATCATGAGCTTTAGAGAACATTTTCCGATACTGGTAGTGGAGCTCTGTCGAACTCATAGAGAAATACGAACTCAGTGGTAAAGAATCAACGTTTGTTATAATCTACACCGTTTCAAGAGGGTCCGCGTTCATGCAATTCAGTGGCGTGGCGTGCTTTGCGATACATCGATTGGTATCCCATTTAAACCTATGGAAAAAGATCAATAAACAGGGTGTTCGCAGCGAACACCTTACTAATCGATTCTTTACCACGGATCCAAATGGGGAAATATCGATAATCGATCATTCACGCCACGCCACTGACTTAGTTGAATGCAGACCACACGTAGATTTGATTTGACGAATCAAATCAAATCGTTGTTAAATCAAATCAAGTTGAGTGTAGTAAGATGTTTATGCTGATAATCAGACTTTCGAAAGATATCATTGTCATTAGATTTGATCTTCAAGTCACCTTCTATTAAGAATTTAGAGGGTAAGAATAACGCAACGGTCCAACTTTAAATGATTCAGTTGTTTCATCGTCGAATTAAATTGAATGGAAGGATAAAATTAATTTATATAATTGATTGAATTTAATTGAATGTGCATTTTGAAGATTTCCCAACTCGGGAGGGAGGGAGAAGGGAGGCAGGAGGTGGTAAAAGAACATATTTTTGACACATGCCAGGCAGTTCCTCAAAAGAGTCTTGTAGCCGAAAAATGACACGTTTGTTTTGATTTTTTATTAGCTAATACGATATGAATACTTTAAACTTGGGAAATGGGATTTTCTCGAGAGAATTAAGAATGCGTGCTTATTTTTTCAATGTTACATGGAGAAAAGATGCACTTAGAGACAACTTTTCCGTCACTAAATGGAAATTTTACATTCATAGAGTTGGGTGGTTTCTGAATCAAGACACTCAATAAAAACGTCCAGTCCGTATTAAATCAACTGATTGCGAGCACTTATAAACACAATCCAAAATTTACTCCAATTAGGGACACTAATGACGAAGACGACTCTCATACATGGTCGTCAAAATTTGACGTAGCAATCGGATCAATGTCTCTCGAATGGATGTTTTGATGTTTCTCGTGCATTGAAACCTGTTTTAACGTGGTCCCAACCATGACTTGATTTAATCTTCCATGATGGATGTGCGTCAAAGCCTGGGGGAGTTTCATATCCTGCCTTTATTCCAAATAGTAGTGGTGCACTATTTACAAATGATGCAATCTGAAGAACGAGGCTTCACAAGTCGGCTGTTTATCCAAAATCTTTGATTAGATTTCGTTGTTGACGGTAAATAAAGATAAAGTAGGCTCACACAAGCGCGGGAGTAAACTTACTCCGAGATTAAAACTATGTTTAGCTGACAAATTTGACAGTTAATTTAATGACTCTTGCGTCATTTTGTTTTTGAGACGCTTCAAATGTGTATTTTTGAGTGACGGAGCTTTATTTTCATCAGGTAAATGTTCATTAAAAGCATTCAGGGATTCGAAATACCGCGGTAATTCATAAACAAGGGGAAACTTGTTCAGGCGTCTACACCCAATGAGTAATTAGATATTTATTCTAGATAAATACGACGCGACTTGATGGCTCAGAATAGTTACGTACAGATATGTATCAGTTCTCGAAGAAAAAAGAAAAAAAAGAAAAAAGAAAAAAAAAGGAGAGGAACATGCAGTCAAGGCCTCTTTGGTATAAAACACGACTTCGGACGCCTTCAGTTCGCCGTGATACTTCACGCCTTACCACGCTGATACTTTAGTTGCCTGTCCGACCCAAACTTGACCAGGGATATTTTAATCCAAAGTTTGGATGGGAGCGTTGTCTTCAATACTCAGTACACAACTGATTGGCATGCAATTAGCACAGTTGGTCAGTAGAAAAATGTATGGTTCGAATTTGCGGATTTTTTCATTGCTATACATATTATGATATTATTGGTTTTTTTTATATTATTTTTTTCTGTGTTGAATTGCAATTGACTCACATCGAGCGTTTGGGCTGTTTCAGGGGCTGTAGTACCTGGATTAGGTTGCCTGGCTGCCTCATACGTCGGTTGCGACAAAGTGGCCGTTTCGGTGCTTTTCACGGCAGGTATGGGCTTCATGGGCTTCTGCTACGCCAGTCTTCGCGTTAACTCCTTGGATCTGAGCCCCAACTACTCCGGCACCATCATGGCTCTCGTCAACGGTATTGGCTGCATTTCTGGCATGGGCACCCCCTACATCGTTGGAATTCTTACACCAAATGTAAGCTATTTATCATCACATATACATTAGCATTTGTTAACGTGAAAAAAGGGCACTGAAAAAAAAATCTCGGTGTATTTACTGAGAAAAAGGTAAAATTACCAAAAATTCAGGGTTCTATTTGATCCCAGTTTTTTCTTGGTAAAATTACCATTTATGGAATTGGTAATTTTACCGAGGAATCTCGGTAAAATTATTGAATTTTCTTAGTAATTTTACTGGACCTTGGTAAAAACGCCAATATTTTTTATCGACTGTGGTAGAATTACCGAGATAAAATGGTAAAGTTACCGGGAATTGATTACCAATAAAAGTGATATTCTTACCTGAAAAAAAAACAGTAAAAATACCGGTTTTTAGGTAAGCTTACCAGCCTGTCTTGGTAAAATTACCAATAATTGGTAAAAAAAAGTGAGATGGTGAAGGTACCAAAGGACCTTGGTAAAAATGCCAAGAATTCTTTTTTAGTGGGCACCAAGTGTTTCAGAGGGTCATCCGTGAAGAACGAGTGAACTTTCATCCTAAAAAAAACACCGTATGAAAGCTCAAATTTCACTAAGTTCGATTAAAAAGTCATTTTTAGAAAAGTTATGAATGCTTTTTCTTAAAATTTTCAGATATGGCTCGCTGAAAAAATAATACGCTACTTTAGCATCTAGAATATCGAAAATTTGTCTGGTGATCCATAGATGCTCACTTGACTGTCTCTGCAGTTAAGTTTACATTCTCAGGATGTAAAGTTTTTAAGCTTGACATTTTCTTTAGGTATTCCTCAAATGAGGAAGATGAACTACTGTATAGTTTCAAGAAATATCTTCGATGAATTCCCCAGTTAAAGAATAAAGTAAGACAGGCAAACTGCAACCTCGAATATTGAGATACGTCATTTTGAGTTTGGCCATCAATGCAATGTGTTTGCGATCACAATGACTTTAGTCCTATGCATTTTCCAGCGGAAATCAACTAACAATACCCATGTTGATTGGAGCTTTCAGCGAAATTTCTCTACACCCAAATAAAAACAGAATACTTTTAAATACCTAGATTCATTTGATTTCAAAAAAAAAAAAATAAAAGGAAATTTCTTTTGTGAGTGTACGTTCTCAGACTTAAATTATCGAAGTCTAAATCTCTTCAAAAGTCAAAAGGTATCTTTTCACCGCGTTTTTCCCTGACTTAAGATGGAGCGCGGTCTCTTTTGTGGTTCAATTGCCGCGCAGTTAGAGATCATTTATTGGCTCGTGCACGCTAGCGTCACGCGTCGTCGTAACGCGTGTCGCGCCGTTTATAATTAGCCGTCACCTACTCCAACCGCGATATCTTCCCTGGCAAATACCTCAGAATTCGCTCAATACTCGGTAATTGAGCGGTTTTCGAGACCATCCTCTCGAGGACGGAGCCCGCACAGGTGATTCCGAAGAGTTCTGAACAGAGAAAAACTAGAGTACCTATATAGAGAGAGTGTGGACAACTCGAAATATGTAGCTCTTAGGGCCCAAAAGGGTAGGTAACCTTTGAAAACGAGAAATGTCACTGTCAATCTTAAGACTCCAATATTAAACGAAAATGGTTAATTAAATTCATAAGTAAGCATTCTTCCGCAAAAATGAATAAGGTTATGCAAAAACCAAGTCGATTAGTAGACCAGTTAAATTGCGAGCAAAATTCTCTAGAAAAGTGAAAGAAAAATATATTCACCAATTTTCAGTTGACTCGTTTTTCATCGACGGCAATTTGGTGACGTTTGAAAACTCACATGCACGATGAATTTACCTAGCATAACGGTGCTGAGTTCGAGGTCGGTCTGCAGATTTTCGGTCGATCGCATTTTAAGGCAAGAATGTCGATGCAATAATCGTGATTTGTTACTACTTTTCCGTAAAAGACAGATTTGCTTTGGCAAACATTTGAAATGAATCCACTTACTCAGCAAACAGGCTTAGATTCGGTCAAGTTTTTTGACATGCTAGATCTTCCGAAGCCCAAAATTTTCAAATTGGCAGGTGTAAAACTTTAATGCAACTTCTTTACTGTCAATAAAAAGCGCAAAAATTAAAATGCAATTGAAATTTTAGGAATTAAAAGCAAATTTAAAGCGCGGTGATCTATGTGTTTGTCACTCTCTCAACTATTCTTCCAATCAATTCCAAAAATTATTTTAAATTTTGGTCTCAAAAGTTGAAACCGCGACCACTGTGCTGGCATTGTGCAATTCCAGCAGGCGGATGAATGTACGATTTGAGAATGAACGTATTTTTCGAGTGTCTCATTTTGCGTCATAGTAATAAGGCGGTAATGCATTAGACAAAACACGTCCCGGAAGGTACTAACTAAAATAAAACACGACCCTGCGGGCTGATGCTTCAACAGCTTGAGAGAAGTGATTCGTCGTATCCATGCGGCGCCTTATGCGCATGATTATTGATTCAGTGATATATCTGAGGTCGACTTGTATTTCAAATGGCAGAAAAACTTTTCCCCACTATTAAGCATTCCTTTAATAAAATATTTTATTCTGTTTCCCTTCCCGTCCTCTGGATTTTAAGTTCTTCTTCTTCTTCTTCTTCTTTTTTTTTTAAAAGAAAAATATAATAACTTCAATTTTAGAAGTGTGAATTACCAATGTTGCTAAGGAATCTCTTTGATATAATCAAATTGATGGCCAAAGTGCAATACCACGTATCTCTCTTTGCGACGTAGCAGACTTCCCGTCATACTTTATTTTTTCTTTGAAAAACTACGATGTGTTTCAAACGTAAAGAGCTTGATGCAAAAACGGCTTTTTTCGCCCCCCCCGTCTGAAAGTTCTTCAGACTTTGTCTATTGATTACTCATACTTGAGCGCTTCTTTTCCCAAATTTTCAGACCCCCAAAAAATTTTGGGGGGGAGCTACGTGGGGTGGAAGTCAAAACCTGTGAGCCTCGATATCTCTTGAACAAAGAAAGATATCGAGGTCCGGTTTGGACGAAAAATCGTCTAAAATTGCATACTTTAGGGTTCTAAAGGTTGAAATCTCGATATCACATTTATAAGTCAACATATGTGCTTTTTCCCAGTTTTTAGGTCTAGAAAATTTCTTTTAAACGAAAAATTTACAAAGATCTCAATTTTTTATTTGAACCAAAACCAGTTTTTTAAATTGTTCGTCTTTTTCCGCATCCAACGAGTGGTCGTATAAACTGGGGAACCGAACGGTTCCGGAGTTATGATCGATTGAAGTTTCCGCTCAACGCGCGCCGACCGATTTT